CAAATAGAAGGGGAAGGGTATGGGAGAAGTAGCTGCTAACTTCGCAAAGAAGCCTTAGACTGAGTGATCTAATGTAAAGCACAATATGAAAGAGGTATTTTATGTTCAGTACATCCTTTAGGTCAATAAGCATAGTAACAAATAGTGAAGCATATTAGACCTGACAGTCGAAGTAAGTCGTAGCCAGGTTCAAATTTACACTCCTCACAAACCAGATTAAACAAAAATGCTAGCAAAACCTCAACCACTCCACCAAACCAAACTGGTCATCATCAGTGTGGCTGTAAGGTATGAATGCTCAGAAAACAGAGACTCTTGTACTCTGCATATTTTATTTCTGTATGATTCTCAGTGAGGTTCCAATTCAACTGTCTTCTTTCTTGGCTCCAAACACTGTTTGCAGCCTACAAGAGGACACAGCATCTCATGCAGATCCCTGTAAGAGCCTGGTATGTGTGTATACAATAGACAACAAATCCTCAAGAGGAGGACTGATCTTTTGTCACCAAGCAGCTTCAGCTTAGCCATCAAGCTGCTTTAGGAGGAGAGTCTCACGACATATGAATGCATTTACCCATACACAAATTATCTACAGCACGACAGCCTGGTCCTGTAGAGCTGGATAGAAACCTTCATCCTTTAAAAATACAGCATCACACCCAGGAAGAGGTAGAGGCCTCTTGTTTTTCTCTCAGGGATTTCAACAGGAGTTTGAAAGATAGGGAGGATGTTACACATCACCTCACTAAAAGAGCTTTGGTGTATCTCCCTAATAGTGACAGCTGGCAACACAGGAAATGGAGGTATCTGTAAGACACCATGAGAAGTTTGCCTAAAGCAGGAATCAGCCCATTCTTCTGGTCCACTGCCTCTGAAAATTTCAGGTTTTGGAATGAGCTATGGCTATACCTGAAAAACATCAGCTAAGGAAAACCAACAAATATCTGATGACAGCATCTTTAAATATTAGGCATTTCTATGTCTACTAAGTAGTTCATAAGATGCTTCTGTTCTCCTAGCTACATTGTAGTCCCCTCCAAAAATCAACTCTCCACAACCCTATACAAGCAGCAGCAGTCAAGATCTTAACTAATGAAAACCCCAAAGAAACAAACATAAAAGCAGGTTCTACTCAAAAGAGACTGGACTTATCAATGACTAAGTGAACTCACAAATGCCAAACTGTTTAACAGCAATTGCAGGGCCAGGGGTAGAGAAGTTATATTTAGCTTCCCCATAAATAAGTGGGAAAATATTTCCTGTACATTCCACCAGCAAAGAGCTCTCAAGCAAAACATGACAGGGACTCCTTAAACACATTTGTAGGACTCTGATTCCTGCTCAAGCTGGTCCCCTGGGATTAAGGGGGAAGTCAAATGGCTTAGGTTTTCATTTGCTTTAAACTTTCTTTTTTTAAACTGTGCACTGTAGAACAATACCTGCAGCATATCCTTTCTTTCTGGGTCAGTCACTCCCTTCCAATGAAAGGATTTTGTCTCCGAGAGGGTAGGGAAGACAAGTGCACTGCAAGAGCACTCAGGGCCAGGTTGCCTGCCCAGCTTCTTCACTTTGCAGGACAGAGATTACAGTTGGCAAGAAAGAACCCAAAGAAAATACGCTTTCATTTTTGTTCCACTGAAATAAAGATGCTAGAAGGGAAGGATGGGAAATCCCTTGACCAGCTGTTAAGATACTGTCATGCAACACAGGAAACATGGCAGATATTGGGGAGTAGAGTCAAAGAATCTGGGGTACAGAGACAAAAAGCAACAGGTTAGATTTTTCAAACTGACCTAGCTGAGCACTGTCTGCACATTCAAGTGGCACTTGTGAACATGGTGGGTATTTCACTGCTTTTGTTCAACATGGGACTATGGTGCCCACCTGCTATAATGCAGATTTGTACTTCCAGGGCCCTTCCTTCACTTTGACTCAAGTCTTCCTCCTCCCAGAACAACCTTTTTTGAGAAATATGGAGAACACCTGCCCCTCTTCAACTCCCTCAAACACACACATGAGGGGAAATAAAAAAGGAGATCTTATTTTGTGTTAGAAGATAAACAAAGGTTTTGATCAGCACCAAGCAGCCCCCTCTGGCTCACGCCATCTTTCCATTTCACTGCAGCACAGTCCTGCCTCCTACCATTTCCTGCTAACATGGCATATCAGAAGACGACTGTTCTGTTCAGAAGTGAAGACTGCAGTCTTACTGCTCAAAAGTGACTGCACAACCAAAGGCCACAACAGATAGAAGTCTGGACAGACAATTAAAGGAATTTAACAAGTTATCAAGTGACCAGAGGGCTGGAAATGTATAATCAACCCTTTGCACGAACTGCCCCGAAATAAATGCTCATGAGATACTCTGTGGCAAGAACAAGATCAAAACCTATAAATAAAAGCCATCCAATTTCTGAGTGATTCAGATCAGCCATTCCCCTGAATCCATAAGAGCCAATTATAACTGTTTATAGGGCACACTTAATGAAAAAATTCAGTTTGAGGACATCAATTTCACCCTTTCTCCTTATCTGGTAAGTTTATCTCTAAAGCAAAAAGGCATCAATTTAAGAGAATCCTTCTCTGTCCTCAAAGTTCTTAGTGACCTGGAAACAGAATTAGACACAGCCATATGCTTGCACACCAACGTGCTTCTTCCTTGTCCATAAGCTGGAAGAGCAAAATTCCAGCAGTTCCCAGATAATCTTTGCTCAGAAACAGCAGGATCTCATGCAGCAAGTTAGACCCTTATACCATAACAAATATTTAGCAAGATGAGCTTTCTTTTAAAGAAGTAACTTGGAGATAGAGTTATTAGTCCATATAGAAGGAAGTTACCATCAGTTTACAACAGACTGGTGGAAAATGTCAAGTCCTCCTGCTGAAGACAACACTGATCTGAAAGAATGGCAAGTGTGGCAGGCTCACAGGAGCAAGGCCTAGATCAGCGACTGCCCTGTTCACAAGCCCGTCACAGATTAGGAAGGCTAACCATCTGAAATGATATCAAAAGTTTTGAATAAGGACTTTGTGAAAGGAGGAACACACTCAACAAAATTCTGCCAGGAGGATGGAGAAGCAACCAACCCCAAATATTGCAAGAGGCTAAAAGGGCAGTTAAAACCCGAACGTGTGGTTAGGAAGTTATAACAGGAAAAGCTGAAGTACTCAAACAATAGCAGTTAAGGGCAGAATATGATGAGTATCATTACTACTTTAGTCTGCGAGAAAACTCAGAGAATGTAGAAGTATTATGAGAACTAAAACCAGGCCAGGAAAACAGTCACAAGCTTATTTTTACTTAGGGCACCAAGAATTTACAAAGACAGCTGGTACAGAATACACCTCCGTACTATGAGACTGAAGAAAGAGAATATAGATAAATATACCAAAAGCTGCATTCTTGGGATTTATGAGGCTCTGGAAGGGGTTGTTTTTATATTTAAAAGCTAACCAGTGTTCAAAAACGAGTACAGTTCCTGTGTAATGCAATTGCTTGGGAAACAGCCTGGCTGCTCCAGATGGGAAAGCCTTGCAGAATACAACTAATTGTTCATACAGATCAAATATTCAGCAAAGGGAAGGGGTTATGCATTCAAGTGGGAGAAAGAAGGAAGGTGCCAAGACAGACTTACCTATTCCCTCAAGATGCCATAAATACAAGAGATGTTTGGGAAAGGGAATAGTGGAAAGGGTGAAGAAGTCAAGAGGGGGAAGCAACCTCTGAAGTAATGCAGCAGGTTAATATTTATGGCAGAGAAATGTAAGTGAAGTTAGTCTGCGTTGCTAAACAAACATACCTTAGGAGAGACATGGGAAAGGAAAAAAAAGGTGTTCTGACAGCTAAAATGCTGTCGGGGCAGGCAGGACCTGTCAAGTAGCTGATCTAGTTTCAGAAGAGGTTACCTAACACAACAAGAAATATTTTCATAGTTGGCTTCTTCATCTCCCCCCAGCAAGCAACAGGGATTTCAACTCTTTACTCCCCAAAAAGCGTTTGCAAACCAGACATAACACCAGTGCGACAATGCATGAGGCTTCTTAAAGAAAAAATTAGGTGCACAAGAGATGAAATGAAGCTCACAATATTCGTTCGCATCCTCAGTTCTATTAGAAACAAGCCACACAAACAGTAGGTTGAAGTATAAGGGGTTAACATGCAAGATTTTACAATACAGAAGTACTAAAACAACAACCCGTCCCAAGTTTAAAGAGCATGGAAAGCAAGCAGCCTTTCCTAGCCTCCTGCCTCACTTCCTGATCCAGGGAACATCTGCACATCTCACCCAGAGATCTGAAATCTGGCCTTTCCCGAGCTGTCTTGGGCTTGACACAGCCTCTGCAAGATTATACATAACATTCAAGAAACAGGGGGTAAAAGAAAGAAATAACCTTAGCTCTTTGCAAAGGAAGGGCCGCGTACTGGAGATACCCAGAGGGTGCTGTCAGATTAAATCATCTTAAAACAGCCGTAGCTGAACAATGTCAGTTCGCTTCCAACGCACGCTTCCCGCCTCTCCCCCACCGCATACAACAACAAAATTAAACCGGGCGCTTTATTTAGACAGCTCCGCGCTGCAGATGGGGCAGCAGCACCTTTACACAGAGGCGTGGGGAGGGCTCTGACCAGGACCCTGAGGGAACCACCCTGACCGCGGTGCCCCTCAGCAGGCCCGGGCTGAAGGGCTCCCTCCGCACCGCTGTGGGGGCCCTCAGCCCGGGCCTGCTGAGGGGCACCGCAGCCCCTCCGCCTCTCCCCTCGCTTGTCACCAGGCCACAGCACCGCGGGGGCTCCGTTCCGAGCGGCCGAGGGGCAGCGGCCGCCGCCGCCCACACGGAGCTGTCAGGACCCGGCGGGAAGAGGATGGGGGGGGGGGAGAAAAGGCTGAGGTGAGAGAAGGAGAGAGGTCTGCCCCGCGCATGCGCACCGCCGCGCTCCGGACCCTAACGGCCACCAACCGCCGCGCTCCCCTCAGCGCCGGGCGGGCGGCTGGACTCACCGAGGCGCAAGGGCTGGAGGTGGCGCTGGGGGTAGGCGAGCGCTGCACCGTGACCAGAGCCATCGAGGCGCGGCGGGGCCCCGCGTCCGGCCGGCGGGGGAAGCTTTACTCCATGGTGGGAGGGCGGGGAGAAGAGGGGAAAGGGGTGGGGAGGGGGTAAGCGGAGGTGGCGCGGCACCGGCCGCAGGGGGCAGCAGCTCCGCGCGCGCCAACGGCCTCTCGCCGACTGAGGCGCGCCGGGGCTGGGCCGGCCGGGCACAATGAGGCGCCAGGGCGCATGCGCCACCTGTCAGCGCCGTCCCGCCCCCTGCAGGTTAACCCTTGGCGCGCCGGCAGGCTCCGCGCTGAGGGGAGGAAACCGGCTGGCACTGGTATGGGATCACCTCATTCCGTGTCCCGCCTCTCTCAGCCTGAGAAGGGGGTTTGGGAATGTGTGCCGGCTTGGCTTGCCTCCCGGCAGGGTGATCCGGCGTGTGGGACTGAGGGTGTTTTGGAATCCCATCCTACAGGGAGCGCTCGGGATATGTATGGCACCGAACTGGGTGATTCTGGCCTCAGTGCTCACACACTGTAGCTTTTCTTTGGGTTAGGGAGCAATAGTAACTCTTAATGTAATGGAAACAGCATGTAACACCTATTTATACATCAGTGAACAACCTCCAACACCAAAAGAGTGAGAGGGAGCTGGGCTGGTTCAGCCTGGAGAAGAGAAGGCTCCTGAAAGGGGAGACCTTAGAGCAGCTCCAGTGCCTAAAGGGGCTACAAGAAACCTTTGGGCAAGGGCCTGTAGGGACAGGCCAAGGGGAATGGCTTGAACCTGCCAGAGGGGAGACTGAGATGAGCTCTTAGGCAGAAGCTCTTCCCTGTGAGGGTGCTGAGGTGCTGGCACAGGGTGCCCAGAGAAGCTGTGGCTGCCCCATCCCTGGCAGTGCTCAAGGCCAGGTTGGACACAGGGGCTTGGAGCAAGCTGCTCTAGTGGAAGGTGTCCCTGCCTGTGGCAGGGAATTGGAACTGGATGAGCTGTAAGGTCTCTTCCAACCGAAACAAGCCTGTGATTCTATGAAAAAGCAAGTCTAATAAGTATAAATGATGTTTTAAGCATTCAGCCATCCCCAGAAGGCAATACTGATTGACAGCTTGGGTTCTGAGGCAAAGGGCCAAACGCTATTAAGCTTCATTTGTTTCGCACTTTCAGCCTGGTGCTGCTGAATTCATGGGAATGTTGGCAAGGGGGTAATTGGGATCAGGAATTGTCTTGGGCATCTAATGACAAAACTACACATGATAAACAGGAGCCATTCTAAATATTAAACAGGACAAACTTCGTTGCAAAAAAGTGTGTATTGACCCACAGATTCCTTTTAAGCAGCTTTCATCCGTTCCTCAGGGCTGTAGGGGACTTTAAGTAAATTTAAGTACCAGAGAAGCTGCATGGTAGCTCTCTAGGTGATTCCCCAGAGCCCTGCAGTCAAAGTAATTAGAGAGGCTCCTGCACTGCAAGGAAGAAGTCAGGGTTGCTAATGAGGCATTTTGCCTCCTGGTGGTCAAGAGAGGATGAAGGACAGGCTCCCTAAGCTGGTCTAAAATTGAGCTTACAGAACTGCACAGCAAGCCAGCATCTTGAACATGAAGGAGTCCGAAAGAGCCACCAGTAGGATCCAAGAGTGTGGGGAGAATAAGTAAAACCTGTAGGTAAACAGAGAGCCATTGTCCTGATTTTTACAGCCATCACGTTGGTATTTTGGAACACAGTATTTATGGAAAGTATTTATGCCTACAGCACATTCTGATTTATGGCACAGAAGTCAAGAAAATGCCTTCCAGACCCCTTTTAAATTAGTATCCCTCACGTTCTGAATATTCCACAACTTCCCAATAAAACAATATCTTTTTCTGAGCAGCCTCTTGCCAGGACCTCCCCCCCCCCCCTTTTTTTTTTCTTATTAAATGCTTTATCCTTTCTGTGGGCAAATCTGCAATGCACATGTGAGTTTGGTGTATCTGAACAGTAGATACAGATTGGCAAAGGCCATTCCCAATAAAAACATCTTTCTGGCATTCGCATAAAGCAAGCTGCAAGTTTGGGGAGCAGAAGGACTGTTCTGTGCTTGTGAGTTGTACATACCAGATATTTTCATACTTTCAAATAACACAGCAGGACCAGAAGGCTGTTAGGTGTGGCTATGGAAAGAAAAGCTCTATCTGTAGATAGAACAGAACTTCTTTCCTATCAATATTTGCTATTAATCCAGGTATAACTAAACTGCATAAAGTGTATTTTCCAGACCATATTAGTCAGCTTTTTATTTAGTTTCTGCCCAGTTGAACAGAAGTAAAAGGTTAGCTAAGAATGTTATGGATAAGCAGTACAATGAAGCGCATGGGAACCTTTTTATTGTCAATTACTTTAAAGATATTTAGGTTTTCTGCTATATTCACTGTAGCTGCTTTTTGCTATATTTTACTCAAATATGGTGTTTGTTCTCCCAACTCCTCTTTTCTGTCTGACTTATTTTCTGTGAAACTGAAAAAGTGCTTTTTCTCCTGGCAAAGCACTTCTTTCTTTCAGTTAAAAATGATCCTGCATCACTTAAGTAGTCCCTTGGAGAGGTTTTGGGAATGTAAGAAGCATGGACTCAAGTACTTTGTGTCTGCTACGTACTGGTTATGCAAAGTATGGTGAAGCTTAGTAGAAAGAGATTCTTTGTGGTCACCAGCCACCCTTTTGAGGTGGTAGCCAGATATGAAGCTATGCTGCTGTAAAGTTTATGTCATAATTTCAGTGAAGGCAGGAGTCACTTTTGAGGATGGGAAGGGTTTTTCTTCTCTGGCATATGACAGGACTCTCAATGCTATTTATCTTTCTCTAAAGTACAATATCTAGGCTGTTAGTTTGTTTCATGCAAATGGATTCCTGCAAATACAGGGCTGCTTCAAGGCGTGTGGCTTCTGCTGAGTACATCTGCAGTGATGCAGAGGATAGGTGGAAGCCCCCAGGTGCCCAGACTTCCAGCAGTTTCCTCCCTTGGGACTGGTATTTCACTCTGGGTTTTGAGTAACAGGCATGCAGGGATTACTCTCAATAAATGATTATTTAAACCAGCTTCTGAAATTGACTTTTGTGTAATTTTCATATATCCTGTAGCTCTTCCAGGTATTTGAACAGCAAACCCTTTTTAAAAGCATTTACCACGAGTAAATAATGGAGTTGCTATCTATAGCTCACTAAAGGTCCAACATTTCACTTGCTAACTACAATAATCACAGATCGCAGTTGTTCTCTGAGCCATTAGAAAGGTATAATCTGCATGTGCAATGCTTTTTAGCAGCAGAATTTCAATGTGAGTTGGAAGCTAAAAGGCAGATGAATTCTGATTGAAAAGAGCAGTTAGAGGGCAGCCTGTGGTCACAGCGTCATGGTTGGTACAAAGAAGAGATTTGAAGCCTGTGGCCTTATTCCTTCCTGTGCTGAAAGCGCTGTGGTCAGCACCTGCAGCTTTAGCCCCATGTGTCATTTAAAGCTTTACATGAGCTGGTTTTGCACATGTTTCCCAAACTGACTGTTTTCTGTAATACACTGCAAACATTTCTCTGGCTAAAACAACTTATGATTACTGCATGTCAGGGCTTTTATTGCATAATCTTGGCATCAGCTGCAAACAGCAACAGTGTGCTCCCAAAATGTATCTTACACAGAAACCCACCAAATCGATGGAAGAGGCAATTGCAGCAAAACATCTGTGATGACATATTCAGCCCATTATTTTGTCAACAGTGTAAGAATTTGATGGCATAATAAAAGGATACACTTTGCTTAGCAAAAACATTTAGGGGATAACAGCCCAGTTAAATAGGGTGTGATTGAAGGTTTGCTTAGCCCATGGGATTGCACTTCCAGGGAAATAAAAATAGAGCCATTGTGATTCCTCCTTCCAAGTTATGTTTGTTTGGAGGGTAAAAAATCACTTTAAGAAAAGGGAGAGCATTTTTTAAATAGATGTTTCAGACTGAAAAAAAAAGAAAGTTTGGTAAATTAATTATAATACCAACAGAATGCTGAAGTGCAAAGGGGAAAAGCAAACCCACCTGGGAGAAGAGATAACGGGAGTTAATCATGTGCAAGCTGCTCTGAGGAAAAAAGTGCACAATCCAGCTTAAAGCCTCATTTAAATTATTCCTGTGCACTAATTTTCTGCTTCATTTTCTTGACATAATTGATGCAGTCCTTGGAAGTACACTGCAATGAGCTTATTTCCTTCTGGTAGATGTTGTTTCAAGTAAATAGCAAAGAAGTGATAGTTTATTACAGCATATTTTTGACATGAAAGTTGACTTATATGTGTTTTGTGTTTTGTTTTTTTTGTGCTGTTTCCTCTCTGCAAGCAAATACTGAATTGTAAACTCAAGTCAGTATTGTAGTGTCTATGGCATGTGAATGCACTGGTAAGCTTGGCATTCCAGTGGTATTTGAGAGTGTCCAGAAGGAAAAGTTTTCAGAGACATGTAGCACAGATGGCCAAAAGTATCTATAGAAGCTACAACCATACAAATTGTTTCTGAAATATGTACAGGAGACCATAGAGGGAAATAAATGTTGCTGGGTAGGAACACCAGGAGTGTCCTACTTTCCAGAAAAGACAGTCTAAAATTGATACAAAAATTGAGGGTTTTGACTGTCCATCAAAGTACAATTGTTATTGTGATTTCTGAGCAACTTTCCTCCTTGTAATAACCCTGCACACAGCATGGACACTTTCTAACTTCTATGGCAGGGCTTAGGAACAAAACTAAACCTTTTTCAGAGCAGAATAAATATTGAACTGGGTTTATCTAGGGACTCCGGTGCATGTCATATTTAGCTATTTCCAATTCCAGTTTTACAAATCACTTATTATTTACTGTGGTGTTGTGGGTGCTGTAATAAATAACAAGTGACTTGACAAAGATGACAGAGAATGAAACAGTCTGCAATTAAAAATCCAGAGTTCCTAAGCTAGAGAACAAATGTAACTGACAGGAACTCTATTAGATTTTGGGAAAATTCTGTTATTTTTATTAAACCTCCTCTATTTCATGGTTTCTAACAAGTTCAGCTGTCCCATAAAATGGAGAATAATACTCTGCTAGAGGGCGAAGCTGTTCCATTGACAGATGCCGTAGCTAAAGTCACAGTTCAGTTTTCCTGCA